AAAAAAAAAAAAAAACCAAAACCAATCTCACTGCCATCAAATTGATTCCAACTCATAGTGACCCCCATTACATTTCCAAGGCAGTAAATCTTAACAGAACTAGATTGCCCCATCTTCCTTCCACGGAGCAGCTGGGGGGTTTGAACCACCAACCTTCTGGTTAGTAATCAAATGCCTTAGGCACTGCACCACCAGAGCTCCTTAAGGAGACTATATAAGTACCATTATGTGGGCATCCCATGTTATGGTGTGTAAATACTCAATCTGATATATTTTAGACTGGATAGCTTTCCTCATTTGTCATATTTTTCCCCTCCTGAATTAGTATTCCATTCATGGCATTCCTTGTGTTTGAAATCTTTAAGCAAATTAATATAAATCCTTGAAACAGATTTTGTTTCAGTAGACTTCTGTATTGAATTTTCTGCTTCATCACACTCCCCTTAAAAAGTATTGGGTTAATAATAGAGCATATTCACAGAAACACACACAAAGACCCACATTGAGACGTACCCTTTATTTTGTACCATTAGCTGTTTAACTACACTCACACCTGATGTTTATTCTCTGATACTTCTAATATTGACATAAAAAACACATTCATTTATTCATATATTCTTTCATGACACATCTCCAGAGAGAGAAAAACAGCCATTAATTCTGGAGTGCATTGAAGTTGAATACATCAAAAGAACCATTTCTTGGCTCACTGAATTCCCTAATATCTTCCAAAAAAGGCATGTAAGTAAGCATGCACATTTATAGAAGAAAGTATATAATAGTGATTTGTGGTGTTCATAATTACACAAACACACACAGAGCATTAGGTACATTTATATGTTACAGATAAGTGTATGCATTTTTTATGTCATTTTTTATGTTTTAAAATAATATACAACTTTAAGTAAGGGTGCATGTATTTGTGTGCACAGACACATAGAAATGTAAACGCACACAAATATCACACCTTATCATGCAGCATTACGGCTGTGCTTTGAGGGCTTAGACAGGTGGGGGTGCTCCTGCTTGTACCTCTCTGACAGACGGTTTGGCAGAGTAATTAAATATACACACTCTAGAATCAGACTGCCTGCATCAACTCCCAGTTCTGCCTTTTGTTGTCCACCTCATGGCGTTCTTGTGAGGATTAGATGACAATGCATGTGAAGTCCTAGAAAACACCAGGCAAGTAGTAAATGCTCAGTAAGTTTTAGTTATCACAGTTGATCTTCTGTTAGTTGTGCTCCTCCGGAGATGAAACTGTTTCTTTCACATGTATAGCATCTACTAAATTTAGATTATGTGCACCATCCAAGAATAAATCTTCAGAATCCAAGAATAGACTCTATCTAAGAACAAGTCTTTTATTGTGATAATACCTGCAACCTGTGTTACACCTTTATCTGTTATCCTGTTAGGGTTTGCAAATTGTAATGTACAACTGTTCATTAGCATGTCAGGTGATGATGGCTTTCCAGGAATATAATTAGATGTATTAATATTGCTTTTTGTTATGGTCCTTTTGTGCCAGTCTAACAGAAATATCACAGGTGGATGGCTTTAACAAACAGGGATTTATTCTCTTACAGTTTAGGGGGCTAGAAGTCTGAGTTCAAAGTGCCAGCTCTAGAGCTGGGTGAAGGCTTTTCAACCTTGGGCTTCAGCTCTGCCTCGTGCTCCTGGCCCACTGAAGCTGGAGGTGTCTCTTCACTCAGGCAGCTGCTGGCTACTGAGGCTGACAAACCCAAGGTCGACAAGTAAAATGGCACAGTCCTAAAATTATTAAGCAACACAGCAGGCCACTAGTTCAAGTCCAGAAATTGTCTCAAGATCAGCAGACAACATGACAGGCCACTGAGAGGAGGACTCGGACAAATGCAGGATTCAGATGTGTCAGAAAACTCAAGAGACCTCTCTCAAAGCTGCTTCTTATTCTGGAAGCACACCACATTCCCTAAGGCAGCTACTCAGCTGCTCACAGTAGATTTCACCATGGAGTTGATTACCGGTCTCATCATGGGCAATAACTACATCCAGCTGCCCAGCCACTCAAAACCACACCCAGCCAAATTGACACATAACCTTAACTACCACACTTTCCAAGCACGTTTAAAAGTTGTATAAATGGAGTAGGGGTTAATTATGGCACAGTTTATTTTGGGAAATTTATAAAGGAGTCTGCCTGCCTCTAGTCTCTTCTTGTTTTAGTTCCTTCTATACATGAGGACTGAGATGTTTATCTTTTTCGTTCACTGCAATGTCCTTGACCCCGTAAGAGTAGGTAGCACACAGTAAACAGAAATGATTATATCACAGTACTTCTTAATCTAAACCCATTTACTTATTCTCAAGTATCTATCAAAGTCATTGATTTTATTCTGATCTTAAAGTACCTTATTGTAATTACTCCCCAAAATATACTCGATGTTTCAGGTATGTTGAATCATTTGTTATTATCTGAGCATCACCGTTTTTTTTTTTTTTTTTTCCCTTTATGTCTATACAGATGCTATTTTCTTTACCTTTCAAGTTCAGTATTCTCACTTCTTACTAACTCCATCCATCCATCCATCAGGACCACCTCAGATTCTACCCCACCTACTCCACTTGCCTGGACCCCCACAGCTGCTCATCAAAATGTCATTGTCTTGATCTTCTATTTTTCCTGTGTCGATCACTTTTCATGTTCTATTATTTGCATATCATGTCTCCCTTCAAATAGAGACTTTGGTTCACTTTTGTGCCCGCTACAGCGCACATAGTTGGCAACTATTTGACACCAGTAAATACTGAATGAGGACTTAATGTGAGATACTGAGCTCAGTGTCATGCTGGGTTCGTAGGAAAGTGAGTAATACTCTCTCCCTGTGTTCACTATACATACTTGCCAAATGAATTTTTAAAGAGGTGCATATTTTAAACAGCATTGTGTCGTGAAACAGACGACGGACTTGGTGTTGAGTATATGGGTTTAAATCCAATGTGTGATTCTAGGGTAACACTTCCTCCTCTAAGAGTCTTGTTTTCCTTGTTTGAAATACAAACTTGAGAGTTTAAATAATAGAGCCACATCTTAGCATGAAGTGAGAAAACATACTAGGAAGCCCCTAACCAAAATGCTTGGCCTGGAGAAGGTATCAGATAAAAGTGTGTTTTTTCTTCCTTATGTTTGTTGTTGTTGTTATGTGCCGTCGAGTCAGACCTGACTCATAGCAACCCCTCTTTGGGTTTCCAAGGCAGTATCACTATGGATAGTAGATTGCCCTATCTTCCTTCTGAGGAGTGGCTGGTGGGTTTGAACCTCCAGTCTTCTGGTTAGCAGTCAAGTGCCTTAGGCACTAGACTACCAGAGCTCCCTTCTTCCTTATAGAGGACTATTAAAGAAAAGACTGTCCCTCAAGAGTGTCGTTAATTCTTTTGGTTTTAGCTCTGGCTCTTTCAGTCTGCTTTGAATAGGCCAATCAAGTCCTCACAATGTCTTGCCATAGCAGGCTGTGTTTCTACTCTTTCCTCCCCCTCCTAGAAGTTTACACTCTTTGGCAAACACCCATTTGTTAGATGTGGCTGATAGACACTGCTGTTCTCCTCCTATTCTTCATGAAGTACTCATGGGAATTCCAAGTTTTGCTTTAGATGCCTTTGCTACGTCCACAGTGTATAGAACTACAATTACAGAGGCTTTCCCTTTCATTCTTCCGTTTGGTCTGTGAGGGTTTGTAGCATGGGTTACCGGTGTTGCCATCTGCCTTTTGCAGATGAGGACAGCAAGCTTGAGAGTTTAAATGATCTGTCCAAGGTCACATAGTTAAAAGTAGCAACAGCAGGGGTTGATCAGACACAAGTCACCTGCTTATAAATGTGTTGCCTTCTCCACTCGAGTGTATATTTGCTCCAGGAACAAAAGGGGTATTGAAAACTCTAAAATCCTTCATCCTAACAACGTCTTCCATTCTCTTTTTTGCAGAGGCATCCATCTTGAGCTACGATGGTAGTATGTACATGAAGATCATCATGCCCATGGTCATGCACACAGAGGCAGAGGATGTGTCTTTCCGCTTCATGTCCCAGCGGGCTTATGGGCTGCTGGTGGCTACTACTTCCAGGGACTCGGCAGACACCCTGCGTCTGGAGCTGGATGGGGGGCGTGTCAAGCTCATGGTTAACTTAGGTATCGTATGAAGTACCCTCTGCCACTATGTTTGGGCTTGTCTTCCTTTTCTTATTTTCATTGATTTGGTTGAATTCTTTTGTTTGTTTCTTCAAAGTTAGCTGCTCACCTCTTGTTTAATAGACCAAGGTTAAAACTCAACAGCAACAAACACCTCTTACTCCTTGTTTCTGCATGAGGTTTTGATGTCAATTTCTGGTTTCTGACAGTGGTGTTTTTTTTTTTTTTTTTTTACAAGATTATTTGTTTTCTAAGTTTCCTTTCTTGGTTTTTTGGAACCGTTTAGCTTTGTGTAAAACACGCTACTTTGGTCCATCTTTTGATCAAACACATTTCCATTAAGTTCAACTCCTTGGTCACCACTCAAAACAGTCAAATGTGAGGGTAGGAAAGGGAAGCAAAATAAATGGGAGGGTATGATTGGAGAGAACCAAGCAGCTACGTAGGTAATGAGAAATGTACTGTTTCTAGCTCCACAGTGAATACTCAACTGAGGAATTCCGGTGATCCTGGTGACATTGTGTCCACTCATTCTTTCTCCTACTGGGGAAGACAAGTCAGATCATTTCGGCTGTCCCACCCAAGAAAGGATTTCATAAGTTTAGAACTCTGACCTATGGAGGGGAAACATTGCTTCTGATACATGCTCCCATCTTCCTGAGACTCTCCCCTATCACGCAGGAGCCTTTGTGTCAAAATGGTTAACCTCATACTGTTGTTACTCACCAGTTACTTTGTTCTGCTCCTGTAGTACATATTCATTTGCCTTAGTATTAAAATATGATGACAACATCAAATTTGTTTTGAACTTCAGATTTTGACTTATTGGGAGTGGATCTGTTTTTTCACTATAATTACCTACAACAGATACTTTGGAAATTCTCCTACTTATGGCCGGCCTCATACTATCTGTTGCTACTGACCCTCTTTACTGAATTCTAATTAATCTTCTGTGGAGAATGGGAGCCTTTTTGTGTTTGAAAGAGACAAGAAAAAATTTCATTCTGCTGTTTCTGCTCATCAGAAAGTCTTTTTGGAAATCTCTGGGCATCATGAGGGCAATGTCCAGGGTTGATCGGTTAGTGATAAAGCTGAGTCCAAATTTTCTAAGCCTTTGGATTTGTTTGGATAAGGTGAATATACACGGACCCAGAGCTCCTCCACAAATATTTGAGTTGGATAGCTTGTTAGAGGCATGGAGAAAACATGAAGGACAAATGAATCATGTGCGAGAACATAGAAAACTCTAGATGGCCTATCACGAAAGTAGGGCTTGTGAATCCATCCCAGTCTTATCTGCTTTCAAGTCGATTGGTCACACTTGCAAAATGCATACACTACAATGCCAAAATCTCTAGGACATAGACTGTTTTGAGCAGTGGCTTATTTAGTTACATCTTTTTTTTTTTCCTTTTCCTTCCAGTTTGCAGCTTTTATAACACTATGCCCTTTTTCTTGTCCAGTATCATTTGATTTCTGCTGTCAGTGTGTCTCTTGGTTTTTCTTTTGTTCGTGTGTGTGTGTGTGTGTGTGTGTTTGGTTACTTTGGGTTTTGTTCCTCTCTTTTGCTGGATCTTTTTCTGTGTTCTTGAGTTTCCAAGTCCTCTCCACCATCAACCATGTTAAATCAAAAGATGGTATTCAACCCTTCAAAGGCCCAAAGCCTGCGGCCCGCATAGCAAACAGCCTTGAGAACAGAGTGTACTGAGCAGCCTGCAGAGGCCGGCATACCCCTGCCCCTCCCACCTTCCCTGCTCTGCACCAGCCTCCCCCAGAACAAACCAACAAAAGAGTAAATTACTTCAAGCCAGTAACCAGGGGCTCATTGTCTCCTTTTCTGACAGGGGCTCATTGTCTCCTTTTCTGAAAAACAGTAGTAAAAGCAAAACACTAACACATAAGCATAACCCCCTAACTACATCACGAAAAAGTGAAGATGATAATATTTAACTCTGTCTCTAATTCAAAGTAAGAGAGAGAAACATAGATAAAAGGATGACTCAGCCCTGAGTGGTCCTGGGAGAGTGCACATTGGGTCTTTAAACGGCCTCTTTTTTTTTTTTTTTTTGTCATTCTTAGATACTGTTTTGTAAGGATTAGAAAGCCCACTGTGATAGGGCTCATATCTGAGGAAGAAAATTGGGAGAAAGTAAAAGGTATGGAGAAAGAGGGACAGACTTTCTCTCTTCTTCTCTCCTGTGTGCACGTGCGTGTGCACGTGTGCGCGCGCACACACACGCGCGCACACACACACACACACACACACGGTAACTCACATATCTCATTTGTATTGCTATAAGCATTCTTTTTTCATTTTAAACCCTGGCCAATATCGGGGAGATGTGCTTTTCCAAAAGGCTTTATTTTTGCTTTTTGGCTCCCTCTGGTACACCATCAATCTAGCTACCTTCTAAATTGAAATATTCTAGTCAAAATAGATTCCCTCCCTTGAGAGTGTGGTGCTCTTTCAGAAGCAATCATGGTTTGTTCCCCATCCCCCACCCCCGAAGGCTACGGTTTTCCACAATTACTTGCTTGAACATACTGTTTTTTCCTTCAAACCTAACATGGAAAACTTGTGCTGTGTCTAAACTACTTCTCAGGTTCACACTCTGTTCAAAGATTCTCCTTGCAACTCCTTCAAATATACCCCTCCATACATGTTTTCTTTGTCCTTGTTATGAATTCACACTTATTTTCCCTTAGGTATAGAAGAAAACATTTCCAAGCAGAATTTGCATTCATGTATATTTCCCCAGAACCAATGTGAAGCTATCCCTTTGTTTTCTCACCCCTCATGTTGTCTCCCTTTTTAGCACACAACACAAATGATATTCCACTTTATTTCAAATTGGTCACACATATAAGCTCATGATATGAGAACCTAGTTTGTATTTCTCTAACGGAACATATTTTCTAACCATCTAAGAGACTAGGCTTTTCCAAGAAATTTGCTTTCTGAAAATAGCCATGTGTGGTAGCAACAGGCGTGAGAAATATCTTCCACTCTGTAACATACACCATCAGATTTTTAAAAGGTGGTGAAGTGGGCTATTGAATGACCATATTTTGATCTTTTAAAATTAAAAATAAAATAGTATTTTAATTATTACAATATGCTTAAAGATGTAAAACACTTTGTCTCATTTCTGTGAGATAAGAACGTGTTTTTATGCTCACCTTTACAGATCTGGAAACAACATATATGACTTTTCCAAGCTCATTCAGAAAGTCGGTAGCAGGGCTAGAACTAGAACTCATGCCTCTAAACTACTAGATCAAAGTGGATTATCTGTTATCACCATAGATCAACACTATGGATCAGTCATAATATGGATATCCATAATATGGATAGTCAAAGTTACAGTCTTAATGAATGAACTTCTTTTATGATGGTTATATTTAAAACATGCACAAAGCTGGGAGTCCTTCTTCAAAGGCAGGAGGCTCTGAAGGAGTGTCTTACAGTTTGGTTAATTGCATTTGAATTCTCCAGATATTCTCCCTGTGGAAACATGGACTTTCTGACTACTGTTTACACATCACTGAAGACACACAATCCCTAAAATCATTCGTCTCTTCCATGCTCAACCCAAAGCTCATCAATACAGAAAAGACTGACTCTTTCCTAAAATAAGACAGAACTAAATAAAACAACAAAAAACACACACACCTCAAACACTATACTTAGACTCAGGAAGGTTTTTTTCAGGCAAAGTGAGAACTTCGGGTGCTACTAAAGTTAGATCTAAATGAAATTACTTCCTCAAGTCAATTCCCCTGACTCACGTTTCTTCAAAAAACAAAAATAAATTCTTACTATCAAGACCTCCTTTCCCTTAGCCTATGAACAAGTGACTGGGGTAGATTTTCACCCCAAACCACTTATTCATCGGTAAAGTAACAAAATAATTATCCACTTGTTGACTTAAAAGGACCAAATTTTTTGCTGTCTTGAAAGCTCCAACTCTTCAAGTTAGTTTAAAGACTACATTCACTTTACATGAAGCCATTTGGGTGAACTGAGGACTAGTGAACCCAACACCTGTCTTTAGACCAGGACCTTGTCTAGTAATAAAATCCTCAGCTTCATGGAGACCAAAGAAACCCACTTCTTGTTTATAGTTCTTGGGATTGGTACTTTAAGCCAACGCTTTCTCTTTCCCTCCCTTTTAACCATGCCCACACACCTGTTTCTGTTCTCTCTTTAGTAAGTCAGGAAAAGACATTTCACCAGCTTTGGGTGCTAATAGGTGGAACCCAGAGCTGAAGCTCCCCCTCTTCCTCCCTAAGCACCCTCCCTCTTCCCAGTCCTCACCAGGGGCGTGGCCTCCTCTGTTTGGTGATCGTACCAGTTGCTCCAGGGCTGTTTGCTCCCACTTTTCTGTTGCGGTTGACGACACATGACAAACCTAACCGCACGAAACCAAACCCAGATTTTTCTCAAGAGATGTTCTTCGGGGAACAAATAAACTTCCTGCTTCCTGCCTCAGAATGGCTGGGTATATGACTCACTCCTATGTGGATTCCCACAGTTTCATTCTGCCCCATCATTTGCCACTGGTTCCTTTTTTCAAGTGCTGGCTTACAATGGTTTACATGGGAAAATTCAAATGGTGGCATTGTGGCCTTGGCAAGTCCTCCAAAAACTATTGGGTCAACCTTAGCCAGAAGAAGAATATAATTTGTTACTGTACTTTTTCCTGTTTAACTTTCTTCCTTTTCTTTATAATTTTGCTTCTACTTTTCAATGTCCAACTTAAGAAACAATTCTTATTGGAATTCCCTCCATCATAAACCAACCATAGGTTTAATAGGGCAGCTTGGTTACAATTAACTTGAGACGTTTCTAACGATTTCTACCCGTTTCACCTACTAATACCCATTGAGTGTAGTCAAGAACTTTTAGGGTTGTGTGTCCATGACTGTCAACAGATATCAATACAATGCTTTGATCTCTGGCTTAACAGAACTTCCTGGTTACTACCATAGGAAAATCA